AAAAAGTAATTTTTTAAGTAAAACTTGTGGAATTATAAAATGTTAGATATAATTTATTACCATCAGCACAGTACCTATCACCATATTTAGAGCATTGATTGATTCCACTGGAACCTTAGCAAATTCTGTAATCTTGTTTAAGGATCAGTTCTAAAACAATGCTTAATAGTGTCAGATAATTGCACATATACACATATTAAATATTTATTTGATGACTGCAAGAATAATATTCAACGTCCTTTTTGTGTAAACCAGTGGACAACTGCTTTTTAAAGTAGGCAAAAATCAATTATTTTGGTCTTAATATTAGGATAATGCAACATCAAAAAAATTTTTTTTCTCCGTGATTGTTCAGTAAGGATGATTGCAAACATTGTACTATTGGAGATTGAATTAAGGGGATAGAACAGTAATTCACATGATTCATGTTTGTACCATTTTTGATACTTTATATTGAAGATAAAAATGATTCATGATACAATAGTGGAAATGTATTCTACACTTTATTTGTATTAATGGATTATTAATATATATTGTCTATCTACACTGGGCAGATAAGAAATGCTATTAAAATATTCTTCTACTGCCTGGAGGCTGTGAAGATCTGGAAGGAGAGATAAAGGCTCAACGCTGACTGATACATGGTGGATGTGGGTTCTCAGGTTTTTAAGAACTGACTATTTGCCATCTTTGTTCTTCATGTACTGGATATATTTGTTGCCTTAAGTTAGTTGTAAATATAATACAAACAAACAAACAAACACAGCTGCAGTTCCAGAGAGAGAACTGGTGCACATTGGAGTGGGGGTGGGGGCTAGCTCCTGCACGAAGAGCAGATCTAGCTCTAGCCAGGAAGACCTTTGTCCAGATTGGTCTTGTGTATCAATTGCACAAGGACCGTGATTTTATTTTCACAGTCACTGTGCCTTAATTACCTCATGTTTGGATTACTGCTATACATTCTTTATGGAGCTGCCCTTGAAAACTATTCTAACGTTGCAACTAGTTCAAAAAATGGCTGCATGGGAATTTATGAGTGTGCCTAGTAGGAATATGACATCTTAGCTGCCTAAAGCACTATATGTTATTTCTGGTTGGCAGTGTGATTTCAGATGAAATTCAAGGTGCTGGTTGTAGCATATAAAGATCTTCAAGCAAAGGCATGAAATTTTCAGGGATTACTTTTCTCCCATGGTTATTACCTGCCCTGTAAGAATTAACAGAGTAGGCTTGCCTGATTCCATCCTTAAAGCAATGAGATCTGAAGGGTCTCAGGAAGTGTGCCTTCTCTGTTGTGACACCTAACCTCTGCAATAGCATCTCTCCAGAAATTTGTATTTCAATCCTCGCATTTTTTTTAAGCAAGTGTCTTGAAGATCTGGTTCTTTTCTGTTTAGATATCTTATTATTATTCCTTTTTGAGCTTGTGTTCTTTCTGCCACAAAGTAGGTCTTAGTAGCAGCTCTTACCCCTGTTTGATCAACTTTGTCCTTTGTTGAGTGTCAGCAACACTCTAGAGATCTTTTCCCCTGTTTCATCTCCCTCAGCTCCTCCATAAACTATGGAAAGTGATAGCATTCACAAGAGAGGTCACATAGGTGTAATCCAATTCAAGGCCTCAACTTTCCCTATATTCCAAGCAGCAACCAAAGCTGTGGATGGACCATACAGCAAAACCCCTTAGTTTCCCTCTACAACTCCTCTGGGTCCATCAGTTGCTGGGGGATGACCAATTTAATAGGTTCCACCTCCCTGCAGTGGATAGTGTAAGAACTAGCAAGAGCTTTAACATTTCAATTAAAAGAGATTCTGTAAGTATTTAAATGGACTGTATTCCAAATTTTCTTAACAAAAAAAATCTGTCCTAGAAATTTACATAGTAAAATCAAACTAATTCTGTATAAAATAAAAATATTATCCTTACCAGCAATTAAGTTGATAAAGCAAGAATGCTACTAGTATATATACATTGACTAATTCAAAGAGAAATGAGATACTACTTTCATTTAAGCACTTGGATAAAAATAAAAGGCTGAATTCCCAACTTTTAATTTCCCAGTAGCAAAGAAGAGCTCAAAGCCAAGAAGCCTGGAGTAGGACAGCTAAAACATTTTCTCCATCTGTTGTAACGTATGCTTTCACAGAATAGCACTAACTTCTTACTTTATTTATTCTGTAATACAAGTAATGCATGGAACTTCATTCCATTTTTTTTTTAAAGAGCTGGTAATAATGGATAAAAGACAGCCTATAGACATAATGTTTTAAGGTGCAAAGAGCTCACAATAAATCCTGGAAGAAGAAAAAAACTACTGATATTTGAGCATGACAAGAAATGCATGACTACTATTTTCACAGAAAGTATTAATAATACATTTGCATTTTAAACTATGATGTATAGCAAAATGCTATCATTAATAACAACAAATTATTGATAATCATTACTCCTTTTTACAATGCAAATAGTTGTTGTAATCATGGTGTGTGTGTGTGTGTGAGAGAGAGAGAGGGAGGGAGGGAGGGAGGGAGGAAGGAGAGAGAGAGAGAGAGAGAGAG